ACCCCTTTCCACTTCTGGTCATAGTGGTTTAATCACATCTGAAGTACATCTGGTTCCTTTAGGTGAGCCCTTCCAGAGACTTATCTTCAATCAGTAGACATAAATTTTATTTTATCTATGTAGACACTTTTATGTGCTTTTCTGAAGTGTAACCTTTGGTTATATATATATATATATATTAGCAAGTGAGGGCTTGCGTGGACAAGATACGTTGTGAGGGATCAAAACTTTTCTGCTCCTTAACACATCTCTTTGTGACAGATCCAATTGCATCTATTAATTCAATTCAATTCAATCTGATTATTACAGCCGTAAGGCCACATCGGGGGTGGGTTCTGGCGACACTATGGCCGGTTCGCTTGTGTGTGTGCCGTGCCCACATGAGCGCATGCACAGTACAATGAAAACAAGTACAACCCAAGAACAAGATGGTGAGGCCGCCTGCGTCACTGCCTTTTCCCGCCACCCAGGCCGCCAAACCACTAACAATATGGGTTAAAAAACCGCTATCAATAATCTAAAACGATGGCAGTTTTTTAACCCATATTCTTTTCTACGGTGTTTGTCATATTATTTTTTAGAAGGATTGTTTTTATGGTACATTGTTGTAAGTGATGATTTTGAAATAGTTATAGTGCACCTTTGTAGGATATTACTGGCTCATCCAAAGGTCTCTGGAGGAGAATGTGGTAGTCTTGCTTGTTCATTCTTCCTGCACTGGTTTTTCTTTAATCTGGTTTGGTTTACCTATGCAACAAGTAGCTTGTTTTTAATTGGTATGTGTCCTCTTCAGTTAGGACGTAGTAGACTGTGTTTCTCACCATTGATGGAGATTTTTTTAAGCTAATAATTAAAATATTTTGTTATTTATAGTTTATTTGAAGAGGGGGGGAATAGAGGGGGGGAGAGAGAAGAAGAAGGAAGAGGAGGGGGAGGGGGGAGGAGAAGCATTAGTTTCACACAGAGAATCCTGCCCCCCCCCCCAAATTGCTGGGAACTAATTTACGGGGAAGAAAACTGTGGATCCTACAAAATGACTTTATGGCTTTAATTTCAATTTATTGGCAAGTAAAGCGGAGAAAATCGGAAGTAACTGTGATAATTGTGATACTGACTGTCACTGTACCAGCATAAGTTTTCATAATTTTGCTTCCATGTCACCCTGTACAGGAATTTTATGATGTCTACCTCTATAAATTTGATATGCAAGATTCACTAAACATTATTTCTAAAAAAGGGGGGAAAAAACACTTTACAGCAACAGTTAAAATGTAAAAATTTAAATCATGATTCATTTAAATGTTAAGACAGCTTGGGAATCAACACTAGGCTGCTCTTTGTACATCTTGCAATAAGATATATATTTTAAATTTTGTAAATATATGTGTTCGCTCTATATTTCAAAACTGTAGAAATGAGTTTCAAAGAAATGAAATTAATATCTTAAAAAGAAAGGCTGGTGGAATGGCAATATGCTTGTAACCTTCTTTTTATGGTTATTTTTACATGGTAGATTTCCTAAGAAGCTTATGCAGGAAAGCTATTCTTTCCCTGTATAGGCATGATATTTTTACGTAATCATGGTGAGAGGGGATATGAGCCTTACTTTCCTGATTGGCATGAAGAAAGGCCTGGTCTCTTATGTAATGTCTTTTCTGCTCTGATCTCAAGTGTTGAAAGCAAAGTTACAATGGACGTAGTGGATTATCTGTCTCGTTCTAACAACCTGTTGACCTGGCATGCTAGTTTCTTCTTTGCAGATCATCCCTGAGATGTATCCGCTTTAACCGATCCAGCCAATAAGTTCTGCATTCAGCACTTCATAGTAGAGCCAGATATAGGGATCAAAGATCATAATTTAGAAAGAAAGGGAAATCTTTCCAAATTTGATATCCTCCCGGTGTGTTGATACTGCAGCTCTGTGAAATTTCAGCCATCGAGGGCAAAGGCTATTTCTTGCCAAGATGTTCCAGCATGAAGACATTTGCAGGGTAACCAATGTGGGAAAACTATCTTAGTTATAACTCGGTTCATATTTTTCCTGGCTATGACTGGCAGCAGTTATGTATGGAGAACATATTAACCAGTTAAAATAACTTATAAATAAATCCAATATAGTACTGTAGGTTCCTAATATTTACACAAAAAAGCAATTCGTTTCTGATGAAGCTCTTGATTAAACATTATTGCAAGGTCACTTCATTTTTATTATTCTCAGAGCAGAGAAATTTTAATGGGTTAAATGTCATGAGTAACGCATTTTAAAATTAATCTGCAGCAGGGAATAATGTCTGTAGACACTAGGACTTTTAATGGTTGGTTCTGAAGACTGAAACACGTAACTCAAAGCAGAGTAGAAGAGTTGGGGAACAAACTATTCTTCAGAGGGAGAGAGAGAGAGAAATGTATCTCAGCCATTCACCAACACACTGCTGAAGAGAGCGGAATTTCACTCTGACATTTTTCCAAAATAGTGGCAGCACAGAGATTAGGATTAAAAGTTGAGTCTTTTATTGATTTTTGCTTTATGCACGTTATTAGCATTTTACCTGACATATATTCAGGGATGAAAATCTTGACTTTTGATGCGTTCCTTGCGCAATGTTGTTTCTGAAATATTACAGGCATGCACAAATTATGATCATTCATCAAGTCAGGTGGAGCCTGAAAAAAATGTGCCATCCTTCCTGGTCCTAAAACTAGGCAGCCACTTCAGTCCTTGGTTGGTGGGATTCATTTGACGTTTGAATTATATATTCATATCTCAACCACATGTGATGCCTGGTAAAAGGTTGGACAAAAATGGTCCAAAGTGAGTATTCAGTTTAGCCTTTTGCTGCTCCACTAGGTCATCTCTTCAAGGACTTTTAAAGAGTGGGAGAGTTCCTTGTCTCATTCGCTGAGTGTTTTGAAGTGAAGGTTGGAAAGCTGTTGGCCTGAGGTCGTGTGAGGTTTTCCTGGTCTTGAAGACCTTCAAGATTCCTTCCAATCCTAGGATGAGAATTTTTCCAGGTTAAATAATATTCATCTGTTGCTGGTCCCACTAATAAACACACTCAACCCTGACAAGACCGAGTGGCTATGGATGCTGCCCCCCAAGGATAGTCCAGGTACTCCATCTTTAAGCCTGGGGGGGGGGTGAAATCTTACACCCCTCAGAGAGGGCCCGCAACTTGGGTGTCCTCCTGGACCCGCAGCTG